GCATTACATTGACCGAGAGTAAGTCCACTACCTCAGAATCATAACCCTTACTTCCACTATGATTTATGGAACATTTTTTAGTCAGTGCAATACAAGTGTGCCCCTTACTAATCATTGCTGATAAGAAAGAAAAATAGAGCTTAATCCCTTAGACAAGGACTTTTCAGCCTCAGCACCATTGACATGTTGGCAAATAATTCATTGTGGAGGGCTTCCCTGTGCTCTGGAGGGTGGATAACAGCATCCCTGGCAGCCAAATACTAGAATTCAGTAGCATGGCGCCCTCCCCATTTGTGAAAACTGAAAATGTCAATCATTTTCAAATGTCTCCTGGGGCAAAATCACCTCCCCACTGGGAACTATAGCCTTTGATCAATTCTTTGTAAAGAGTGTTCAGAGACTGCTCATCCTAGAAGATTCTCCTATGAAGATCCTGCATTCAAATAAGATGAGAAACCTTAAATAACAGCAAGAATAATAAAAAAACAGTGAACTTTTGGCATACTTACTGCCTGTGACGAACTATTTTTGTTTTTAGAATTATTTATTTAATTTTATTTACTTATTTATTATTATTATTATTTTAATTTGATGTGAGAGAGAGAAAGTGAACAAGCAAGCCACCAGGTCCAGGGCACAAACCACAGTCGGCCATGTGGGACTCTAGTGTCTTAACCACCACACCACGTGCCAGCCCAGTGGCAATTGTCTTTAAGTTACTTAACCCTCAAAACAGACCAAGAAGTTAGTTACTATTTTAAGGCAAGTTAAGATACTTGAACTTCAGAGAAATCGAGTAGTTGCTTATCAAATGGTTATTAAGTGGCACAACCAGGGTTTGTTTCTAAGCCATCTCCAGAACCTGTGAAATTATCTTAGGAACAGCTATGAACTTTTCTGCATATCCTACTTTTAATTCAAAATGTAAATTGAGATATTAAAAATAACTGTTACTTTTTTAAAAATTTATTTAATTTTATTATTATTATTTACCTTGCCATTGGGTGTGTGTACTCACAAGAGAGAGAGAGAGAAGGCAGAAAGTAAGAAAGCAAGCTGCCAGGTCTGGGATTCAAACTGCAGTTGGCTCTGTGGGAGTCCAAGACTCCAACTACCACCTGCTGGTCCCAAGAATAATTGTTCTTAATTTGTGATATTTATTATGTATTTACTTTATCCCAGGCACTTCAAAATTACCTTTTGTTTTACTCAATTGATGACAACTTCCCAATTATTTGCTAAATGATTCCTAAACCTCCTGGGATACAAGCAAAGAAATCACTGCCCCTGAAAAACAGTTCATCTAAATAACTCAGACAAATTCAGATGTCCATGAGCTGAGGAGGAAAAGACTTACTCTGCTTTGGAGGAGATGATATTTGAAAAGGGCCTTGAATCATCATGTAAAACTTGGATAAGTGTCTGCCAAGTGGAAAGGTATTAGAAGCTGCATGTAGAAGGCCTGGGAAACTGGGAGGGTTTGATATGTTTAGAAAATGGTAGGTGTAGAGGAAAGGAAGTAGGAAAAGAGAAGGGACTTCAGAAAGTTCATGGAAAGATTGAACTAATGTGAGCTTATTTTGATGCAAACGATGTTTAAGACTCATGCATGGTTTTCTCATAAAATGCATTTTTGTTAACTTTTAAAGACTGTGAGACTAGAAAGGAATGCTGAGTTCTCATTATTATCTGTAGCTTGACTTCTGTGGGCATTTCCCTGTCACCTTTACTCTAAGGGAAGCAGATAGCCAAGAGCACAGTAATGACACGGTCAGGTAGGTACTTGATGACAGTAACTGAAGTGAATAGTGTTTGGTGGTGGAAAGACCCAATTAAGACACTAATGCAATGCTTCCAGCAAGAGATAACGATGTGGGATGGAGGGAAGGGTCAGATTTAAAAGAGTTTATTACCAGAGAAGCAGAGCAGGGAAAATTCTCCCCTTAAATAGCCTATTAGAGCAAATAAATGGAATTTATTTGCAGACAAATTTTCTCTACAAAATAAAATTATTCACTTTCAATAAAATAACATAGAAATGTGTTTAACAGATACTCTGGAAAACTGGAGGATTTGTAGTAACACCTTTTAGATTTCACAGATTCTCTCCTGGAAATCTGTTCTTGAGCCCATCTAGATTTCCCAAAGAAACGGGATGCCCCAGTTGATATACTGGAGGTTCAAAGCTAAAGGGCAGATTCTGGATTGTGCTTCTGTCTCTCTAGTCTGAACCATTTTGTATTTCCTTCTAACCTTGTCACCTGAGAATGATGAATCAGCATTAGTGGATTCAGCTAAATGTATTTGAGAAATGATGAGTCAGCCAAAGATGTCAGGGAAGAGATTAGTCCGAGTAGTTATTGAATGAATGGATTAATCACATTTCCAATTCACTCTAACTTTTTGCTTAACTATGTAAAATAAGATTAATATAAACAACCCTTGAAACCTTCAACTGCAGTTTTCTTATTTTTAACTGAAATAGCTAATAACTCACTCCCCTAAAATACTGCAGCATCAAATAGGCTTTTACCTCTATGCAATATGTACTCTATTTCTACAAGTTTATTACTTAAATCAAAAATAAGCATCATCCAACCCATTTGATTTTGTTTTTTCAAGTTTTCTTCACACTACCATTTTATTTTTTATTTTATTTTATTTTATTTTATTTTATTTGGAGAGGTTTTTGCTATAGGGCGCATGCGCTTGCCAGACAGACAAAGACAGAGAGAAAGAAAGCAAGAAATCACCCCCCAGGGGGGATGGCCACACCGCAATCCCTTCTCCTCCATTCTCCTCTCGGGATCTTGGGCACGCACACACACGCGCCTGGCGTGAGTTTTAAGCCACCGGGTCCAGGACGCAAACCGCGGTCGACTATGTGGGAGTCCAGCGACATAGCCGTTACCCTAACTGCTGGTTCCCACACTACCATTTACTAGTTATTCTCCATACTTCAGTTTATTTAAGATGAAGCAATTTGTTTTACCACTTATGAAGATGTGATCATCTCATCCTGGCAATTTTGAAGAAAAACATTTGTCCTACTGTTTTTTTAAATGATTTCCATAATTATGTCTAAACTTATTTTTAGTAACAATATTTGCCACTTAAGGAGTGCCCTTAGGTGCCAGACACCTTGAAAGTATTATTTCAAATAAAAATGATCCTACTTAGTAAATATTCTTTTTTTTTTTTTTTTTGGAGAGATTTTCACTGTAGGGCGCGTGCGCTCGCCAGACAGACAGAGAGAGACATAGAGACAGAAAGCGAGAAATCACCCCCCAGGGGGGATGATCACGCCGCAATCCCTTCTCCTCCATTCTCCTCTCAGGATCTTGGGCATGCACGCACACGCGCCCGGTGTGAGTTTTAAGCCACGGGGTCCGGGACACAAACCACGGTCGACTACGTGGGAGTCCAGTGACATAGCCATTACGCTAACTGCTGGTTCCCAATATTCTTTACCCATTTTTCTGATGAGTGGAAGGAGGATCTACATTGTGAAACAAAGATAGTTTCCCCATTTGTTTTCTAGTCTTAAACTTAGATTCACTAGTCATCAAAACATATATGCTTCCTATGACCTCACTCTGGGTCCAGATTTTACCACCTTCCTTTCTAGTTCATGTTAATGTAAATCATAGATGATACGTTGTTCTAAGAATCTCTTACTTTACTCACCTTTGCTCGGGAATACCATCTTTATCTTTATTATTAAAGGATTCCTAGATTACCCACCTCTCTCAAAGCAAAATAGACTCACCGAGTAGATTAGTTTTAAGTGTTTTAAGTTTGAAGTTTTAGTTTTGAAATTATGATGTGTATCATTTAACAGTAACATGCCTTCTGGATAGAGTTTGGGCCAAGGAAAATATATTGTTATCCCAGTTTTGTGGAATATTAATTTATAAAACTTATTTTATTTTTTTGATTAATTTATTTTTACTTTATTTATTTTTTAAAAATTTGACTAGAGAGAGGCAGAGTGACGGAGAGAGATAAAGTGAGAAAGTAAGCCTCCAGGTCCAGGACCTGGACCACAGTCGGCCATGTGGGAGTACAACACCCTCAACCACCACGCTACTTGCTATCCCCAAAATAAAACTATTTTAATGTGCTTCCAAGACTCAAGAAGGAACCACACAATAATTGTTATCACTTATTTGAGAGCTAGAGAAATATATATTAGCAAAATGTTCTTAATGACAGAAAATAATTTTTATGTTTTATAAAACCGAATATAAGAGATTTTCTATTTGATAAAAATGAATGGACAAATTTAAAGCTTTTTTTTTAAGAGAGATTTTTGCTATAGTGCATGTATGCTTGCTAGAGAGACAGAGAGAAACAAAGAGACAGAAAGTGAGAAATCACTGCCTAGGGGGAATGGCTACACTGCAATTCCTTCTCCTCCATTCTCCTCTTGGGAGGGTAGGCACACACACACGCACACACACATGCACCCGGTGTATTTCAAGCCAACAGGTCTGGGACTCAAGCCACAGTTGACCATGTAGGAGTCCAGTAATGTAACTATTATGCTACCTGCTGGTCCCTAAAATTTCTGAATTAAAGTTACTGCCTGTCCTGATCAAATCCCCCCACCACCAATGAATAGAAGATATTTTGGTTCAAATCATCAAATAATTGATTAAGACTTATTTTACTTTGTGATAGGAGTTATTATTTTTAATTTTATTTATTTATTTCTTCCATAACAAAGAGAGAAGCAGTCACCCTCAATGAGATTTTTCATGCCATGATCTGCTCCCAGCCTCAGGCAGGCAGGATTAGGGGCATGGATAGGGAGATCTCTGGAATGAACCAGGACACTCCCACATGGCTTCAGCATCACAGAGCATAGTGTTACTGCTGTACCAACCCAACTGTCCTATGATAAGAGAACTGTGTTACAATGAAAATGTATTGACTGATGTGCACTGAAAGATTGTTATTCTTAATGTTCTTACACATTTTTTCTGTGAACATTTTAGGTGTATCAATACATGCATGAAACCATAACTGTTAATGGCTGTCCTGAATTCCGAGCAAGAGCCACAGCGAAGGTAAGGGCTGAGTAACTTTGAAAATGCGCTCGACCCCAGTGATCTAGTAATTGATTGTGCGCGTGTGTGTTTCAGGTATTCTCGTGTGTACACTGTAAGAGAATTTAGACATCAGTGGCAGCCCAGAGTCTAGAACCAGTACTACTTCCCAGGTAAAAATCCTAATGGAAAATCGAACGTTTCTGCTGCTTCTGTAGCTTAAGAAAGGAGAATGATTTCATTAAATTCACAAAATGTCCATTTGGCACAAGCAAATCTATTGGTTCATCATATGAAATACTACATGGTTTTCTGACACATTTCTTTTAACAAAAAATGAAGAAGAAAGAAAGAAAAAGAAAGAAAGAAAGAAAGAAAGAAAGAAAGAAAGAGAAAGAAGGAAACAGAGAAAAAGAAGAGAAAGAAAGAGAAAGAAAGAAACAGAAAACCTGTATTTTATTTGGCTCATGATTTATTTGCATACGTCTAAAGACTTTGGTTTACGTTAGACATGAAAAGAACATACCTGACACCCACTGATCTAGGCTTCTTTATAGTCAACTAAGCAGTGGGGATTGCTAAAAGAATGTGACATTGACCTAAGGAGGCAGCCTGTCACCTTTTGTGGTAGTGACCTCATTTGCTTTTTAAAACCTCGAATTCAGAGCTCTTAGAAACTCTACTAATGGAAATGTTACAGAAATAGGATTATGAAATTTTCTGGAAAATAGACCATTAGGAAACAATAGTTTAAAAATAAAACTCCTGATGCAATTCTCACTTTTTAAACACAGAAATGTTATATGAGAAACAGGATTTAATTTTTAAAAGCTTTTCTCTTTCTGACATGTATAAGAAATAAGAATCAGTGAAAATCATCAGAATTTCTTCCTAAATTCTTTTGTGTTAGATCACTTCTTTGGTTTCTGTCTTGAGTTTTTAGTCTTTTTTCTGTAGCAGACATTGTAGATTTGTAAGTTGTCTGTTTTTCTTTTCAACGCAGGCAAAAAGAGGGTGTTATTATCATTACGTCATGCTTTGCTTGTACTGAAGTGGAACACACATAGAAAAATGATCCCTACGTGGTTTAATTAAGGGGAAAGTGAATTATGTAGTGTTTTACCATTCTCATTTCTTATTCATGTAGAACAGCAGGAGAGCAGCATAATGTTGCAATAGCACAATATTTTCTGGTTGTTTCTGGGCTGTCTGCATTGCATCCATGTCCGCCATTAAAACCTATGCATGACGATAAGATTTGCATGAGCAAATGCATGTAGCTAAAAATGAGCCATTATTTTCATATCATTCACAGTCTTTCACTAAATGCAGACAGTAGCATAATGCTAAATTGATGTGATAATGCTGCGTGTGGAAAAGAATGTACAGTAGTTGGGAATCAATATTTTCACAGTGTTGAGTAAATCACTTTAGAGTAGTCATCTAATCAACTAGGGTTAACGCAGGTTGATGGAAGTGGAAAATAAAAAGCAGGCAGATAATCTTTTCTTGGTAGAAATGACTTAAATGCAGTCATTTTATTTCTTCAGGGGTAGGAACTAATGGTAAGTTGTTTTGTTGAACTTGTTTTATAAATGAACATATGACTTTTAAAATAAATCATGTTCATATTAAATGATGCTTTATGCATTTAGATATAAAAGCATGGGTTGTTCCTTTTGCCTATCTGGTTATAGTAGTTGAAACAATGTAAACTGTAGAGGGAAAAGATCTTGTGCCAGGTAAGTCACCCTTCCTTAATAGTAAAGACTATTGGTAAGAAATAACGATAATCTGTTTGAAGCTATTATTTTACTTTATTTTTTATTTTCTCTTAGGCATTCTCAATTAAAACAACTTAAATTTTCTCAGCCAGTGGTGTGGCAATTGCAAAATTATATTCACAAGTACATGTCTATACACCTATAAGAGCTCTTCAGTTTACTGAATAAACACACACTAACATCTATGTGCAAGTACCAGGTTAGACTGTGTGTCCCACAAACAAGCACAAAGCACCAGCACTGTCCTTAAGATGATTATAAGAGACATGTGTACAAAATAATTATAATGCTAGGCAGTAGAAAGCTATTTGGAATCTAGGAAAAGGGGGAATTGCATCTAACCAAGGTAATTGGGAAAGATTTTTAAGAAGAGAAATGTTTGTCATAGTAGGTAAGCTCTGAAAAGATGGACATAGCTGGGGTCAGGGGCTTTGCCAAAGAAAGAGATCACAGATTGCACCGAAATGAAGAAAGGGGCCTCCTGTTTGTGCTATAAAAATATGAGAAGTCGCTTGAGCTATCACTGCAAAGTGTGTGATTCGCCTTATCATCCTCACTTTATTATCAAAAGACCATCTTTTCTTTCAGGCAACAGTTGCAGCTTTTGCAGCTAGTGAAGGCCATTCCCACCCCCGGGTAGTCGAACTGCCAAAGACTGATGAAGGCCTTGGTTTTAACGTGATGGGAGGAAAGGAGCAAAATTCCCCCATTTATATCTCTCGCATCATTCCTGGAGGGGTGGCTGAAAGACACGGAGGCCTCAAAAGAGGAGACCAGCTGCTCTCAGTGAATGGAGTGGTATGTTCATAAAATAACCAGAAAATGTTCTCCCTAAATTCATTCTTTTCTTTTTTTTTTTTCCTTCTATCTTTGAAGTCCATGTTGAGATCCTAAAACAAATAATAATTTTGCGTCTACAATGCTCCAGATGCATCAGTGAATATTAATCCTGTAAGAGCTGTGGTTTTATGTTCTAATGTCTCATTTTGTCTTGTTCAGATATCATAAATATCAAGTAGTTAGGAAATCACCCCAAGAAATGATCCCAGCTAGTTGAATTTCTCTTCATAGTACTCTAATGGAATTAACAGCTAGAAGAACATAATGTCAAGGCACTTTCTATGCTAAAGTGTGTATTTGAAATACACACATTTTAACAGTAAGGCTAAAACTCCACTTCAGTGTGTGTTTTCATTTTAATTACAGAAGGATAATTTTAATGTTTATATAACAATAATGGCTAAAAGTTTAAGCCAAGTGTATAGCTAGTGAAATATATTGGCTTCTCCCCTAAACAAGTTTGATAGCATGTCCTAGTAATCACTTATATACATTAATTTTCAAAAGACACTAAAATAAAATGTATAACATTTTAAAGTAAAAATATGGACATACATTTTTTTTTCTGTACCCTTCCATTATTTGGATGCCATTATTGCCACATTTAATAACAAGTTGCTGAGACAATAGCTTCATGTGAAAGGAATAATTTTCTCCTCATATCTTCCACTTATACAAAACATAAATAACCTAAAAGTATAAATTTCATAAATATAAAAGGAACATATCAATGTTTACTTTCTATTAACCAGAGAGCTTTTTCCTAGGAACTTAAGATTTAATATATAAACTAGATTTGGGTTATTTGTGGCCATATTGATTTATGCTTCAAACACAACAATCCAAAATAAAATGCATTTGGAATGTGATGTTATATTGGTAATTATGGAGTAAAATTACTGTGTGTGTGTGTGTGTGTGAGTGTGTCTTTAATTTTCTTTATTTTTTTTTTATTTTTAGCCTAGTAGTTTTGTGGAACCTAGTAGTTTTAGTAACTATTTATTCAACTCCACCATGCTCTAATGTACACCAAGTTTGTCAGTCTAGGAGTATTTTATATCACTTCAGCATTCCAATTCTAAAATTGCCATTTCATTTACTTTTTTTTCTATGCAATAATGCTTTGAGATGAGCTTCATATTGACCTTTAGATAACTATGACTTTTTCAAAGCATATTTCAACTGATAATTTCAGAGTTGAGCTTTCGGTAGGGAGCTCCAGAGAGAGGTCACACGATTAGGTCACACAGAGTGAGGTGCATACAGTTCCTCAATGTGTGAATTTACTATTTCCGAGTATATTGGGTAGATTAAAAGAAAATATGAATTTAAAAACTGTATAAAATATATATAAATAGTAATTACAATTTTATAAAGCAACAATAAATACAGATGAAGTCGCTTTGATAAGTAGTCGACTTTGAGGGAGCAAAAGAGCCTTTGTTTAACCCATACATTTGCAGGAAACATAATCTCTCATTCATTCCTTGGCTGACCTTCAGACATTACTGGGAAGTGACAGGGAGCATTGGAATAACAGAATCAGACAGATCAGATTGTACAATATCCATGATTATGGTTTAAGATACCCTAACCCTTCAATTTTTTTAATCTGAAAAATGTGAATAGTAATTTATTTGAAGGGCTCTGGTGAGGATTAAAGTGAGGCAAATATCTGTGGAGAATTGTCCCGTGATAAGTTGATCACATACATCTTTGATGAGTAACTACAACAACTGAAGAAGGTTGAATTGCATGAGGGTTAATGACCTTGCTACTCTCATAGGCATAAGTTATCAAACCTTGACTGGCAAAGCAACAGTAATCAACTTATATCGCCTCCTCCATAAATTTGATGAAATTCCAATTCTCTGTCCATTCAGCTGTTCCAGTCACAACCTTGGGAAAAAGGTTCACGTAAGGCAAATGAGACAACAGTCCAGGGTCAGGATTTTGTCACCTTTCTATTCAGCATCTGAAAGTCAGAAATCCTGCTAATCTAAGTTGGAAGTAGAATGAATCGGTGATCCAACTTGGGCCACTCATCCTGGGACATAGACTATGGGTCTCAAGATTTATATACGCTGTTCATGCAAAAGTGGGCAAGGCCTCCAAAGGATTTTAATATTCCACATATATTTAAAACCCTTAATTTACCAATTAAATTTCATTTATAACACTTTTTATGCCGGGTAATGGGCCACTAATTCCAGCAAAGAAAATCAATTTTGACATATTTTTGCTAGTGAGTAAAGATTATTTGTTCCATGACATAGATACAAACTGTTCTTACAGTTGCCCGCTCTAGAATGTTGCCTTTCTGATGCAATGTTGGCTGATTGCTTTGGACTAATTCATTCAACACCTAAAGCTGGAGCTTAAAATATTACACATCCATAGAATCAAAGTATATATTATGAACTACCTATTTTAAAGTGTTTAAAATTAATGTACATTTTAACATTGTCTAGTATTTATCAGGTGTTCATCCAAAAGTAATTTTCTGTAAATGAGAAACTTCATTACCCAATGACTGCTTTATAGTCACACAAAGAATAGCTCATTCAATTTTAGAACCCTGAGCTTCTAACATTAAGTCCAGAGATCTTTTTAGTATATATTATCCCAGGCAGGTAGCAGTATTTAATGAAAAATAATTATTCTTTGATGGAAAGACCAAAAAAAGAAAAGATAGCAAATGGTCAAATGACTTCTATTTCTACTTTGAAATAAAGTATCATTTGGGGAGATTAATATGAAAAAATTTCAGAACATGCTATTCTACCCTCAGAACAAATTTTGGAAGGAAAAGATTTAGAAGGCTGAAGTGAACCTTAGCTACCTCAGTAAAATTGCTATTGGGAAAATTTTCAACTGTCTTATTTAAACAGTAAAGAAATTATTCCATGGACCTTTAAACACTGGACATCTGGAAACATGATTAGCTTTGTTTATTTGTTTAATACCCTGCTTGCTTTTAGACAGGAAATGATATGATTTGGGGGAAAGATGAAGTATATTAATAAGAATCCTTGAAATGAAAGATCAGCAGGTGGCGTGGTGGTTAAGGGCACTGGATTCCTGCATGGCCAACCCCAGTCCAAGTCCCAGATTTGTTGGCTTGCTAAATAAAATAATTCTTTTTTAAAAAGAATTGTTAACATGAAATGTTAGACAGTGAAGTAGCATTGAAAGGGGGAAAGTCAATAAACATCAATAAAGAAAAGATATAACAATTGGGCTAGTGATATTTTCTCTCACTATCTCAGAAGTAAAACAGAAGGAAATTTATACAAGCTTAGCCATCACTAGGAGAAAAATATTTTCTATCTTTGAGCCCCAAGAGAAATTTTCCATGGGATGTTTATAAATTAGACATTGAACCACTTACTATGATTCACAGAAAATACAGAGGCCTTCTATGTATGGTTACTTCTTTTTTTTTCTTTTTTGTTCCTTTGTTTCAGAAAGAATTTTTTGCTATAGGGCATGTGCACTTGCCAGAAATACAGAGAGTGACAGAGAGACAGAAAGTAAGAAATTCCCTCTACCCTAGGGGGATGACCATGCCACAGTCCCTTCTCCTCCACTCTCCTCCCAGGACCGTGGGTATACATGCACACACATCCGGCATGATTTCCAAGCCACCAGGTCTGGACCTCAAACCATGGTTGACTACATGGGAGTCCAACAACACAACCATTATGCAATCTGCTGGTCCCATGTGGCTACTTTTTATGTCAACCCTCAGTGAAAACTTACTGCTGAATCATTGAATTGTCCAGAAAGTCATGACACATTTTCCATGTGTCATGACTTTTCCAATAGCCCAATACATTTAATGTAATAGGAGGTCAAAATATTACGGTTAGAATTTATAGTTGTACAATGAACTGCTTTTCGCCCTTTTATGCTCAAGTGTTTCCTCAGCAGTTTAGAGAAAGAACTATTTATAGAGGTTGCAGCCAATGTAGAGCCAGTGGGGACAGTAAATACATTTAGTGATAGAATCAGGTTTTAAAAAAATCTCAATTGAATAGTACAATAGGCCTAATTTAATAAGAATCTACATGAAGTTCTGCTCCTATGCCTAGAAAACTAGCTATGTATGTGCAGAATCAGGAAATCATTACCTAACTTTGTAACCTATAGGGGGTGTGGAGAACCTGCAGTTGGTTTCAAGTAAAATGTACGGCAAATGGTTGAAAGCAGGGGGGTGGGGTGGGGAGCATATTGTAGAGAAATTGATATAAATATCTTATGTCATAAAACATAGAAAGATATTGGTCCAACTCAAGCATGCTGTTCAGTCCACACCCTGTTATGTTCTAATTGTGATTCCACCCTTGTAAAAAACAGTAAACCCATCCAGAGATGTGCCATCTTGTGTATGAGGACCATGTTAAAGAAGAGAAGAGAATATTCAGGGGAGTGATGACTGTCTTCCATTGCGCAAGATGCCAGATGACAGAATAAAGACAAATGGGTAGAAGTCTCAGAAAAGGCAGATTTCAGATTATTATAACAGAGAGCTTTTTAAACGCTTAGTTCTTTAAATAGAGAAATACTGAATCATAAGACAGTAAGTGCTCATCATTTGAAGGTCTAATGAAAGATTAAAAGACCTCCTGACAAGAGTATTTCAAAATAGGTGTTTTATGCAGACATTTGGAATACTTGGCCCCAAGCTATCCTTTTAACTTTGTGAATCTGGGCATCTATGTCTTCAAATGGGATTTTTGCTGAGATGGCTGTATCCCCTCAACCCCTACCTTACATACATCTGTCACTTTATATCCTGAAGGCAGGTAAATAGCCTCTACTACTTTCTATGTTCTCTATTCATGAGACAGTTTTCCTGAATGAGTATAATATATACTTTCTAATTTTTAGTATTTCATAATTCATTAACAGTTTTTTCACAGCATTCTTTCTAAGGTTACATTGGGCTATTTCCT